TTTGGGGGGGTTTAAAGGGGTTTAGGGGGGGTTAAAGGGGTCTAAGGGCTGTTAAAGGGGTTTGTGGGGGTCTTAAAGGGGTTTTGGGGGGGGTCAGTGGGGTTTAAGGGGGGTTAAAGGGGCCTAAGGGCTGTTAAAGGGGTTTGGGGGGGTCCTAAAGGGGTTTTGGGGGGGATTAATGGGGTCTAAAGGGGGTTAAAGGTGCCTAAAGGCTGTTAAAGGGGTTTGGGGTGTTCTTAAAGGGGTTTGGGGGGGGATTAATGGGGTATAACGGGGGTTAAAGGGGTCCAAGGGCTGTTAAAGGGGTTTGGGGGGGTCTTAAAGGGGTTTTGGGGGGTCTTAAAGGGGTTTGGGGGGGGATTAATGGGGTATAAGGGGGGTTAAAAGGGCCTAAGGGCTGTTAAAGGGGTTTGGGGGGAATTAATGGGGTCTAAGGTGGGTTAAAGGGGTCTAAGGGGGTCTTAAAGGGGTTTGGGGGGGTGTTAATGGGGTCTAAAGGGGGTTAAAGGGGTCCAAGGGCTGTTAAAGGGGTTTGGGGGGGTCTTAAAGGGGTTTGGGGGGGGATTAATGGGGTCTAAGGGGGGTTAAAGGGGTCTAAGGGCTGTTAAAGGGGTTTGGGGGGTCTTAAAGGGGTTTTTGGGGGGATTAATGGGGTTGGGGGGGATTAATGCGGTCTAAGGGGGGTTAAAGGGGTCTGGAGAAGATTAATGGGGTTTGGAGGGGTTTTAAAGGGGTTTGGGGGGGGTTAAAGGGGTCTAAGGGGGTCTTAAAGGGGCCTAAGGGCTGTTAAAGGGTTTGGGGGGGTCTTAAAGGGGTTTTGGGGGGGTTAATGGGGTCTAAGGGGGGTTAAAGGGGTCTAAGGGGGTTTTAAACGGGTTTGGGGGGGGATTAAAGGGGTTTTGCGGGGGTCAGTGGGGTTTAAGGGGGGTTAAAGGGGTCTAAGGGCTGTTAAAGGGGTTGGGGGGTCTTAAAGGGGTTTTTGGGGGGATTAATGGGGTTTGGGGGGGTTTTAATGGGGTCTAAAGGGGGTTAAAGGGGTCCAAGGGCTGTTAAAGGGGTTTGGGGGGGTCTTAAAGGGGTCTGGGGGGGTCTTAAAGGGGTTGGAGGGGTCTTAAACGGGTTTTGGGGGGGTTTAAAGGGGTTTAGGGGGGGTTAAAGGGGTCTAAGGGCTGTTAAAGGGGTCTTAAAGGGGTTTGGGGGGGATTAATGGGGTATAAGGGGGGTTAAAGGGGTCTAAGGGCTGTTAAAGGGGTTTGGGGGGTCTTAAAGGGGTTTGGGGGGGGATTAATGGGGTTTTGGGGGAGATTAATGGGGTCTAAGGGGGGTTAAAGGGGTCTAAGGGATGTTAAAGGGTTTTTTGGGGGGTCAGTGGGGTTTAAGGGGGGTTAAAGGGGTCTAAGGGCTGTTAAAGGGGTTTGGGGGCGTCTTAAAGGGGTTTGGGGGGGATTAATGGGGTATAAGGGGGGTTAAAGGGGCCTAAGGGCTGTTAAAGGGGTTTGGGGGGGTCTTAAAGGGGTTTGGGGGGGTCTTAAAGGGGTTTGGGGGGATTAATGGGGTCTAAGGGGGGTTAAAGGGGTCGGGGGGGGGTTAATGGGGTTTGGGGGGGATTAATGGGGGGGTCTTAAAGGGGTTTTGGGGGGGTTAAAGGGGTCTAAGGGGGTTTTAAAGGGGTTGGGGGGGTCTTAAAGGGGTTTGGGGGGCATTAATGGGATATAAGGGGGCTTAAAGGGGTCCAAGGGCTATTAAAGTGGTTTAGGGGGGTCTTAAAGGGGTTTGGGGGGGGTTAAAGGGGCCTAAGGGGGGTTAAAGGGGTCTGGGATGGGATTAATGGGGTTTAGGGGGGTCTTAAAGGGGTTTTGGGGGGGATTAATGGGGTTTGGGGGGGATTAATGGGGTCTAAGGGGGGTTAAAGGGGCCTAAGGGATGTAAAAGGGCTTTGGGGGGTCTTAAAGGGGTTTGGGGGGGATTAAATGGGGTATAAGGGGGGTTAAAGGATCTTAGGGGTGTCCTGAAGGGGGTTAAAGGGGTCTGGGGTGGTCTTAAAGGGGTCTGGGGTGGTCTTAGAGGGTTCTAAGGGGCATTAAATGGGGCTGGGGGTGTCCTGAAGGGGGTTAAAGGGGTTTGGGGGGGTCCTAAAAGGGTCTGAGGGGGGTTAAAGGGGTAAAAGGGGGGGTTAAAGGGGTCTGGAGGACTCTTAAAGGGGTCTAAGGGGCATTAAATGGGTCTGGGGGGGTCCTGAAGGGGATTAAAGGGGCTTGGGGGGGCTCTTAAAGCAGGCTGGGGGGGTCCTAAAAGGGTCTGGGGGGGGTTATAGGGGTATAAGGGGGGTTAAAGGGGTCTAAGGGGGGTTAAAGGGGTCTGGGGGGGTCTTAAAGGGGTCTGGGGGGGTCCTGAGGGCTCTTAAAGGGGTCTGGGGGTTCTTAATGGGGTCTGGTAGGGGGTTAAAGGGATATGGGGGGGTGAAAGGGGTTTGGGGGGGTCCTGAAGGGGGATCAAGGGGTCTGGGGGGGCTCTTAAAGGGGTCTGGGGGGTTAAAGGGATATGGGGGGGTGAAAGGGGTTTGGGGGGGTCCTGAAGGGCTGTTAAAGGCCCTTAGGAGTGGGGGGGCGTCTTCATCGTCTCTCCGCCCCCCATATTCCCCATTCCCACCCCATCCCCATTGCCACCCCAACCCTATCCCCACCCCTTTTTCACCCCATTTCCCATTCCCCCCCATCCCTACCCCATTCTTCATTCCCACCCCATTGCCCCCCATATTCCCCATCCCCACCCCATTGCCCCCCATATTCCCCATTCCCCACCCCATTCCCACCCCATTCCCCATCCCCTCCCATATCCCCCATCCCCACCCCATTGCCCCCCATATTCCCCATTCCCCATTCCCCATCCTCACCCCATTTCCCCATCCCATCCCCCCCATCCCCACCCCATTGCCCCCCATCCCCACCCCATTGCCCCCCATATTCCCCATTCCCCACCCCATTCCCCACCCCATTCCACCCCATTCCCCATCCTCACCCCATTACTCACCCCACCCCACTGCCCCTCATATTCCCCATTCCATTGCCCCCCATATTCCCCATCCCCACCCCATTGCCCCACATATTCCCCATCCCCACCCCATTTCACCCCATTCCCCATCCTCACCCCATTCCCCACCCCATTCCACCCCATCCCCATCCCCCATCCCCACCCCATTGCCCCCCATATTCCCCATCCCCATTCCCCATCCTCACCCCATTTCCCATCCCCACCCCATTGCCCCCCATATTCCCCATTGCCCCCCATCTCACCCCATTCTTCATCCCCACCCCATCCCCACCCCATTGCCCCCCATATTCCCCACCCCATTGCCTCCTATATTCCCCACCCCATTGCCTCCTATATTCCCCACCCCATTGCCCCCCATATTCCCCACCCCATTGCCCCCATATTCCCCATCCCCACCCCACTGCCCCCCATATTCCCCACCCCATTGACCCCCATATTCCTCATTCCCCACCCCGTTCCCCATCCTCACCCCATTCACCACCCCACTGCCCCCCATATTTCCCATCCCCATTCCCCATCCTGTTCCCCATCCTCACCCCATTTCCCATCCCCACCCCATTGCCCCCCATATTCCCCATCCCCACCCCATTGCCCCCCATCTCACCCCATTCTTCATCCCCACCCCATCCCCACCCCATTGCCCTCCATATTCCCCACCCCATTCCCCACCCCAACCCCATCCCCACCCCATTGCCCCACATATTCCCCATCCCCACCCCATTGCCCCCCATATTCCCCATTCCCCATCCTGTTCCCCATCCTCACCCCATTTCCCATCCCCACCCCATTGCCCCCCATATTCCCCATCCCCACCCCATTGCCCCCCATATTCCCCATTCCCCACCCCATTCCCCACCCCATTCCCCACCCCATTCCCACCCCATCCCCATTCCCCCCCATATCCCCCATCCCCACCCCATTGCCCCCCATATTCCCCATTGCCCCCCATATCCCCACAGCCCCACACACCCCCCACCATGGCCGAGCGCCCGGAGGAGACCCTCGTCGTGGTCGAGCACCGCTACGCCTGCTCCGAATGCGGCCACCTCTCGCCTTCCTTGGAAGACGCCCTCTTGCATCACCAACACCACCTCCTCAACCCCACGTCCCCCTTAACCCCAGCCCCACAACCGCCCCCTTTAACCCCCCCGGCCCCCCAACCCGAACATCACTACGAGCTCTTGGGTCTATCGGCTGAATTCCAAAGCTTGGCTATCCCGGAGAGCAGCCAATACCAATGCTTGGAATGTGGACAACTCTTGGTTTCCCCTGGTCAACTCTTGGAACACCAAGAGATGCACCTCAAACTTATGGGTCACGATGACGCCGTTGGCGTTGGCGCTACCAAAACCCTTCCGGCCCTCACCAACGCCATCCATTACGAGTGTGTGGAATGCAAAGCTCTCTTCGATGACCAAGACTTGTGGTTGAGCCATCGGCAAAGCCACCACCGGAGCCAAACCCCCATCCAAAACCAAGCTTTGGTCCAACGGGAGCATTCCTATCGCAAGCCCGGTGAGGAGGAGGAAGAGGAAGACGATGCTGAAGCCGCCGCCGCGCGGCTCGATACGCTCCAACTCCTCCTTTATGAATGTGGCCAATGCTTCCAACTCTTCCAAAGCCCCAAAGACTTCTTGGAGCACCAAGCGACCCATAACGACGACGCCGATACCGCCCCGGATCACACCTACGAGGTGAAGGAAGACCCCGACCCTCTTCCAGTTGAGCATCCTTGCTCCGAGTGCCCGCGTCGCTTCGCCACGTGGCGCCGCCTCCAATCCCACCTCCGTTGCCATCGTTTGGGCGCCTTCCATTGCCCTCTTTGTAGCAAGATCCTCCCCGACCCCACCGCTTTGGAACAACACCTCCAAGGCGACCACGGTGGCGAATCCCATTTCCTTTGCCTCGACTGCGGCTTGGCCTTCGACACCGAAGCCGTCCTCTTGGCCCATCGCCGCGCTCATTGCGTCAACCCTCTCCACCGGTGCCCGTGCGGGAAGGCCTTCGTCAACATGACCAAGTTCCTCTACCATCGCCGTAGTCACCATCACCATCACCACCACGCCACCAACGGTGACCCCAACCCCAACGTTGTCATCACGGCTCCCCCCCCGTCTCCTTCCTTCCCTTGCCCCACGTGCGCCAAGACCTTCGCCACGGCCCCCCAATTGGCTCGCCACCAACGCTTCGTGCACCGCTTGGAACGCCGCCATCCTTGCCCCGATTGCGGGAAGCTCTTCAAGAAGAAATCCCACGTCCGTAACCACCTCTTGACCCACACCGGCGAACGTCCCTTCCCTTGCCCTCAATGCCCCAAAACCTTCAACTCTCAAGCCAACCTCCTCCGCCACCGCCTCGTCCACACCGGCGAGCGCCCCTACGAGTGCGATGTGTGCCGTAAACGCTTCACCCAATCCTCCACCCTTCGCCAACACCTCCTCGTCCACAGCCGCCGTTACCCCTACAAGTGCCCCGAATGCGGCGTCCGTTTCCATCGCCCCTACCGCCTCTTGATGCACCGTTACCGTCACACCGGCGAGTACCCTTATAAATGCCAAGACTGCGGGAGCACCTTCTTGCTCCGACGTCTTTTGGATGTCCATCGTCTCTTCCACGCCGGCAAACAACCCTACGTGTGCGCCCAATGCGGGGCCGCCTTCGTCAACGCCATCCAACTCCGTCAACACCCTTGCGGGAAGGTCGAGTGCCCGGTTTGCGGTAAGAAAATGGGGTCTCCGTCGAGGTTAAGGGCTCATCAAAAGCTCCACGGGGTTCCCAATGGGGTGGTGATGACGACGGTGACGACGACGCCGGTACGGCGCCGACGCCGTCGCGGTGGTGGTGGTGGTGACGCCAAGAGTTTCGAGTGCGCCGAATGCAAGAAACTCTTCAGCACGGAGACATCGCTCCACGTCCATCGGAGGATTCACACTGGCGAGAGGCCTTATCCGTGTCCGGATTGCGGGAAGGCTTTCCGTCAATCCACTCATCTCAAGGATCACCGACGTCTCCACACCGGTGAGAAACCTTTCCGGTGTCAAGAGTGTGGCAAAGCCTTCGCCATCGCCGTCCGCTTGGCCGAACACCGGCGTATCCATACCGGCGAGCGGCCTTACCGCTGTCAGGTGTGTGCCAAGGCTTATCGCTCCTTTTCCAACCTTTGGAAGCACCGCAAGGCTCATGGGGAGAAGGGGAAGGAAAAAGGGGAAAGCTCGGGGGAGATGGGGGGGGAAGCGCAATAGGGAGATGATGATGGGGGGGGGGGGGATGGGGAACGACACCCCCCCTCCCATGGGTTTCAATGGGGTCTTCTGTGGATCCCAAGTGGTGGAGGGG